TGGGGAAAGGGAGTGTCCCAGAGCCCACCAATAAAAAAACCCTCACCAGATGGGGCCCTACACCTTGGGTCACCAAACTGTGAGCTGAACAAATAAATCACTGTTCTCTTAAATTACCCAGGTTTAGGCATATTTTACTATTTTATTATAATGAAATGAACTAGTACTCACTGCAAATTGATCTTCAGAAAATGGTGCAGGATTTCTGTACTCTGTTACCTTTGAATGTATTATATGTATTACCAAGTAAATTAACTGTACTACATTTAATGTTTTGAAGTTTTTGCTATACGATGCATGCACTTGCCAGAAAGACAGAGAGAGACAGCGAGAAAGAAAGTGAGAAGTCACTCCCAGGGGGGATGACCACACCACAGTCCTTTCTCCTCCATTCTCCTCTTGGGATCTTGGGCACGCATGCACATGTGCCCGGCGTGAGTTTAAGCCACTGGGTCCAGGACTCAAACCATGGTAGACTACATGGGAATCCAGCGACATAGCCATTACGCAAACTGCTGGTCCCTACTACATTTAATTTTAAGTGAAAAGGAGTGGAAGATTATGGGAGCTGCTATCTTAGGGTGGTCAGAGGAGGACTCACTGAAAAGGGATGTTCTAGCAGAACTCAGCAAATGAGGGAGTGAGATATGAAGATATTTGTGAGTGGAGAAGAATGCTGGAGGCTGAGAACAGCAAAGAAAAAAGCACTGAAGTGGGAACAAGCTGGAGAGATCCAAAAAGAGTCTAGAGGGCTGTTTAGACCAGAATGAGAGAAGGAGGGGAGGCAGAGAAGTGGCCTGGCCAGTCAGCACAGGATATGGCTTCTTCCTGAATGAGGTGGAAGCACTGGAGAGAATGACGTGACTGATGTTGGGGCTCAGAACACAGAACCCCAAAGGATGGCACTAAGGCATGCTGAGTACTTTGAACCACGGGAGAACCAAGGTCTCTCTGACTTCCCTCCATGTGCCCCCACTCCACAGTTCAATCCTCTCTCACTCCAGGAGTACAGGGAGGGGCTTTCTTTAAATCTCCCTGATCTAAGGACAGATTCTCTGACTGAAAGAAACACAATTGTCCTGAGTCCCTCCCTGGGAATCTCACCAACTAGAGGTTATCACAAGAGAGGTCCACATCACACCCAGTACCACAATCACTCCTTCTGAGGGCCACTCCAGACAACTTTTATTACAGAGAGATTCTTTATCCACCTGACCAGACCACCTTGCTCTCTCTGCATTTCCTCTCCTCCCCTCCCATAAGTTTGTCACCATCCCCCAGAAGCCCCAAGCTCTTATTCCTTTCTGCAGATCAGAAAGGATGCTTCAATCATCTGATCATTCCGAGGCTTGTATTTTGTGGAAGTTCCATACATATGCAGGTAAGTAAGGTTTTTCTCCTATTATTCTATCTACTTCCATTTATCTCATAGGCAGAAGGATCCAGCCTTCAGAGGACAGAAAGTTTCATCTCCCCAGTAGGTGTACAGGGAACAGGGACCCTTTAGCTATTGTATATGTAGCCGTGAGGCAGGCATGGACCAAAACAGAGCCACTGTAGGGGGTCCTGGTGAGTGGTAGTGGCAGGTTGGATGTGAAGTTAGGCAGGGAGGAGGTGTGATGGGCAGGTACCGGATCTATTGCCAACAGAGAACTGGCAGGACTAACTGAAAGGGTGAGACTTACTGAGAGGAGAAAGGAAGGGGGAGTTAGTTACAAAGTTTGGGAGTGAGGAGGAACAACTGGGAATAAAGTGTTGGTTTTACGTGTGATCTTCAAGGTGACGACGAGCTATCCAGTGAGGGAAAAGGGTCTGCTAAATGCACATGGACAGCTTTTAATGACTGACAGGGCTGGACCAGAGGGTGAGGAAGTGTCAAAAAATAAATAAGAGGAGATGCCAGAGAGTGCAGCTGGTGTCCAGGAGGCCTTCTGGAAGCCAGGTGCTGGCTTCAAAGAAGAGAACGCAGCTGTTGAGCACTGCAGGGAGCTTCAAGAGGCAGAAGACAGAAACTTTCACTGGACTTGACAACAGAGGGGTGTCTGGTCACTTTGGCACAAACAATGTTGCTGGCATGGTGGAATTCAGGACTGGCTGAAGGAGTTCACGGGAGGACGGGAGGCAGGTAGAAAGGATGGATTATAAGGATGAATTCTGACGGCAGTGGTTGGAGGTCAGGGTAAGTAGAGAGATGGTTTTATGACTTTTGATCTCTGCAGCAGCAAAACTAAAGCAGATTCCTGACAGACCACCAAGACTTCGTAGGTGCCATCTACAGGTAAGGCCTCTTTATGTAATGGGAAACTCACAAGGTCAAAACCCAGAAACCAAAACCTCTAGCCCTGTCCCGTCACCGATCTTCTGAGTGACTTTGGATGATAGGTTCTTTATACAGAGCACTGCTTAAAAATGGTCTTACTTGTGCTAAGCACCCAGCACCACAGTCTTCAAAACAATGTATTTTGACAAACATGTTTTTCTGCTTTCGTGGATGTTCATAAACAACTTGACTGCTTTCACAGACCTGTGTGAAAGGCCTGAACCACCCAGATAAACTGCTATTGCCACAAACCACAACAGGCTGATAACCAAACTGGTCACAAAGAAAAGAACATATGGTGGGGGCCGGCAGGTGGCATGGTGGTTAAAGGTTCTGGGTTTCCACATGGCTGACCATGGTTTGAATCCCAAGCCTGGTGGCTTGCTTTCTCCCTTTCTCTCTCTCTCTCTCTCTCTCTCTCTCTCTCTCTCTCTCTTGTCAAATTAAAAAATAATAACAAATGGAATTAAATAAATAAATCTTTTTTTTTTTTTAAAGAAAGAAAACATACAGCACAGGGCACTATTTGGTAAAGGAGCATATAAGCTGGACACTCAGATCCTTGCCATTCGCTGTATGGCCATTTTCTGTGAACCAGAGCAGCTGCTGTGCTCAAGTACTCACTTTGCAGCTCTCCTCACTATGACCTAGAGGCACTGAGACCCTGATAAGAGTGAATGGGGGAGAAGCGCAATAGGTGGCATAATGGTTAAGATACTGAAGACTCACATGGCTGACCACAGTTCAAGTTTCAGATCTGGCAGATTGAAACACACTGGATATGTGTGTATGTGCCTAAAGTCCCGAGAGAGGAGAATAGAGAAGGAATTGTAGCATGGCCATCCCCCCGGGGGATGATTTCTCACTTTCTCTTTGGCTAGTATACATTCCCTATAGAAAAAAAATCTCCCCTCTCAAAAAAAAAAGTGAATCTGACTGGCTCTCTACAATAGCAGCTTGAGGAATGTCTGGCTCAAAACCTGCTGAGATGCCATGTTGCTAAGGTGACATTCTAAGGAGGATTTGTGCTAACAGCTCTCTGAGTAGAATTCCCTCCTGGTGGTGGTGCAGTTACAGGCCTTGAGCAGGCTCACACCTCTGTTCTTTACCCTGGTATGTTTGCTTATGTGTTTTAACGTTTGACGTGAATAAATGTCCATGCTCTCAATATTCTTTTACTTCTTGGTGTTTTGATTTTCCCTTTCTATAAAATGAGGAGGAAAAAAAATCCCAACTTTTCCATCTCACAGTTGCATAAGTGATTAGGTGTCATTTATGTACATTAAATATCCATCTTACTGGGATCAGCAATTAGCATAATGGCTATGTCACTGAACTCCCATGTAGTCAATCACGATTCAAGTCTTGGACCCGGTGGCTTCAAACTCATGCCGGGCGTGTGTGTGTGTGTGTGTGTGTGTGTGTGTGTGTGTGTGTCCAAGATCCTGACAGGAGAATGGAGAAGAGATTGTGGTGTGGCCATCCCCCCTGGGGGGGTGATTTCTAGCTTTCTGTCTCTCTGGCAAGTGTACATGCCCTGTAGCAAAACCTCTCCAAAAAAAAGAAAAAAAATCCATCTTTCTTTCTAAAAATTTGACTATTCCAGGTATCTCATATAAGTAGAATCACACGATACATGCCTTTTATATGACTGGCTTTTATTTCATTAGCTTAAGTTTCAGGTTCACCCATGTTGTAGCATCTCAAAACTACCTTCCTTTTAAAGGCTGAATAGTCCATTTTATGTTTATATTACATTTTATATCTTCATGTTGAAGGACATTTGGGTTGCTTCCATTTTTTGGCTATTGTGAGTAGTGCTGCTATGAACACAGATGTATAAACATCTCTTTCAGACCCACTTTCAATTCTTGTGTGTATACACCCAGAATGTAATTGTTGGATCATATAGTAACCATAACAACCACTTATGAGGTCTAGCAAAACAGGTTGGGTTTGCAATCAATAGCTTCAGGAAACACTTACAAAGCCTTTCAGGCACCTTTGCTGCCCTGGGAGGTCTGGAAGGGTCTGGCCTGTGTGGGGACCTACACGTAGTCCTCCTTGAAAAGGCTGTGAAGAAGAGTAGGGCTCGCGAGAGCCATCAAAGACCCGACTAGGAACCGACCAGAAGACCAACCAGCTTGTCCGAGTGATGACACGTCTGGTGCACTGAGAGGCTGACCAACGCCTGTGGCGAGGTGCCACAGCGTCTCCACTTCGGCGTGATGAAGGCAAGGATGTTGAACAGGGAACAGGAGGAGGCTGGTCGGGGCGGGTGCTAACCTTCCTTCGTAGGCTCTGTAACCACCTGGGTCTCGCCAGTCTGGATTGTTTTTAATGCTTCACTTGCTTTGAAGTAACGGAGACTTGCCCACAACGTAACAGTACATATGCCGTGCCCCTTCACCCACATTCCCCCAGTAGCAAAACTACAGCACGTCATGGCCTCGGTGGACACCGCCAAGACCCAGAGCACTCCGTTAGGAGAAGGCGTCTGTCCACCCGGCCCCCGGCAAGACTTCATGCGCACAGGATCTGTCCAAGTCCCAGGTTTCTACCCCTAACCAGGAAAAGGAGCAAGCGTGGGAGAGCTACTGCACAAGAGCCGGAAGTGCCTGCAGCCCCGACACTTCCGCGCGCGCCGCGGGCCCCGCCTCTCCCGCCGCCGCGGCGGACGAAGAAGACCGGAAGTGGTCGGGGCCCACGACCCAGTCAAACATGGCGGACCTCCACCGCCAACTGCAAGAATATCTGGCACAAGGAAAAGCGGTAGGGCCAGATGTTGCCGAGCCGCTGCTCGCCGCGAGTAAGGCGGAGGAACCCGCCACGGGGAGCGGACCTGCACAGCCGTGGCTGGGGCCCCCGGGGGCCGTGGGCGCGGAGCTCCGCGGAGCCGGCGGCCGGCCCGGCTTGCGTGCCGAGTTTGACGCGCACGCAGCGGCTGGCGACGGGCGGTGGATGCCTGCTGTTGGCCGCACTGTGCTTTGGACTAGCAGCTCTGTACGCTCCCGTACTGCTGTTGCGCGCCCGCAAATTTGCACTGCTCTGGTCGCTGGGCTCGGTGTTGGCGCTGGCGGGCAGCGCGCTGCTGCGGGGAGGAGCAGCGTGCGGGAGGCTGCTGCGCGGCGAAGAGGTGCCATCACGGCCCGCGATACTGTACGCGGCCGCGCTGGGCGCCACGCTGTATGCGGCCCTGGGGCTGCGCAGCACGGTCATCACGGTGCTGGGCGCCTGCGCGCAGGTAGCCGCGCTGCTAGCCGCGCTGGTCGGCCTGCTGCCCCGAGGTAGCATCACCGCGCTGCGCTTGGCGCTTGGCCGCCTGGGCCGGGGTGCCGGACTCGCCAAGGCGCTGCCCGTGTGAAGGCCGTGGGCCCAACCCGTCTGAAGACCACCTCGGGCCACTACGGGACCCATTCTTTCGGGAGACAACGACTAGCCTGCTGCGGGATCCAGAACCTCAGTGTCTGTCGGACCAGCCCCAGGACTCAGTGCCATTGGGGTACCACGCCGGGCCATCCTCTGGTACCCAAATCCGTAGAGACACTACGTCGGGCCTACGCAGGCAGAGCCAGCGCAAGCCTAGCCAAGCCTACAGCCGCGGTTTCCCGCACCTCCTGCCACAGTAAGAGACGACTCAGTGTCTACAGTGAACTGAGACCACCACAGTTACTAAAACTTACGTTCTGCATTGTGCAGTGAAGACATGATCTTTGTCCTTGAACTGGTGATGTAATATGCTGACAAACAGCTAAGAGAAGTTACTTTTGTACTAGCTAAGTAAAAAAGAATGGCTCTTCTTTGAATTAGCTGCTTTTGTGATTTTTTCTCAGGTTTATCTTTTACCTTTTGTAACTTAAAAAATCCAGTGGTGTAAGTAGTTCAATTACAATAACTTTTTCTTTTGTTTTGGCTATAAGACTTGGAAATTATTTTCTGTAATTCAGTAATGAGTCCAAAAGGTATCAGTAAACACTAAATTTAAGACTTTTTTTTTGCAAAGTACTGTTTAGTTTGCTTTTTTTCCCATTCAATTAGTGAAACTGCAAATATTAAAGATAAATTGAGATTAAGAATTGAGATATACAAAAAAGATTTTTTTTTTGAGAGAGAGATTTTTGCTATAGGGTGCGTTCGCTCGCCAGAAAGAGAGAAAGCGAGAAATCACCACCACCCCCAGGGGAGATGGCCACAGCATAATCCCTTCTCCTCCATTCTCCTCTCCAGGTCTTGGGCACATACGCACACGCGCCTGGTGTGAGTTTAAGCCACTGGGTCTGGGACTCGAACCGTTGTTGGCTACATGGGAGTCCAGTGACATAGCCACTATGCCAACTGCTGGTCCCAAAAAAGATGTTTTTTTCTGTCCTTTGGCAAGAAGCATGGTATCCAGTCAGACACATGTAGATGTTCAGATTTCTCCCTGCTGTGGGCTAAAGAATCTTCTGACATAGAATCCTCTATAAGAATTCCCATATTTGATTTTCTATAAATTCTATTGGATTGTCAGAAAAGTCGTGACATTTTTTCCTATGTTTTACAAAGGTCATTTATTTACATAAAGAACAAGGATCAATTAATGATACATTGCCTGGTTTATTCAGTAACTTTTTGCTAGCTTTCAGTGAGCTTCATAATTTTTCATAGAAGGCCTGTCTTTATTGGTGAAGGTGCTGATTTACAGCCTCATCTGAACTGAACATTATACCACACAAGGAGTTTTGAAGAGAGCAAAACAAGTGAAAGTCTGACCTTGCAAGTATGGTGTGGTAACGCATCCCATCAAAGTTCCAATCATTTTTAATGGGTGATGAGACTTATGTGTGGTCTTACATCTCGATGGAACACAACTCTACGATTAACGACCTCTGGACATTTCTGGATGATGGATTTGTTCAAACTGTCTTACTGCAGACAGTACACATATATGTTGACTGTTTGGTTCCTTGGGAGGAGCTCAAAAAACACACCTTTAAAATCCCACCACACTGAGTGCATAAACTTCCTCTAATGTCTGCTTTCAGCATCATTTGAGATTAATCATCACTTTGGGCCGTATGCACATCACATTGTTGTAAACAATCCACTTATTATCCCCAGTTGTCAGTTGCTTCAAAGGATCATTTTCCTCACTTTTAATGGATGCCCTGTCAAATGAACTTCTTTGAGTTCATGATGAACCCAAATATCGAGCTTGCTTACATATCCCAGCTGCTTCAAGTGGTCATGAATGCTTGGATGATGGATGTTCAGTATTTCTGCAATCTCTCCTATCTTGAAATGTGGGTTTGACTCAATCAGTGCCTTTATTTTGTCGTCATCAACCTTGGTGGGCATCCCTGACTGATGAGCAGAGTTGAGATCAAAATTACCAGCATGGAATTTCATGAGCCATGGTTGGCACTGACGTTCTTGTAGAGCATTGTCACTAAACTGTACGCAACTTTTCACAAGTTTGATGCACGTTCTTCCCTTTACAGAATGCACTCTTCCCTCTTCAACTTATAAAATCTTCAAAACTCAAACCAAATTTTTTTGTTTTAGAATGAAGTTAGAACTGTCAGCATAGCAATAACATAGATCCAAGTGACTCCAGTATTTCCAAAAATGAGCTAGTGCCATCTGTTGCAAAAATGCATCATGACTTTTCTGATGACACAATCTATTGGGTCAGCCTGGGGCCCATTTTGCATAGAAAAACAATGTCATGACTTTTCAACGACTTAAGTCTTTCATCCCTAGTTTTATGTAGTTTTCAGTTTACAGCCTGACCCTAATCCAATTATTTAGATGCTTTTCATACCTAATTACTAATTTCCTTCATTTTAGGTTCAGTCAATGCTTACTTTTACCTGCCTTAATTTATTGCCAGAATATATAGGCCCAATATTCTGATAAGTCCAGAAAATTACCTGTTTTGCCAACATTTATAAATGAGGAAGTAAAATGAATCCAGATTTTAAAATCCTGTGTCTGTGATCCTCATGCTGGACCACACATCAGAATTACTTGAAGAGCTCAATTCAGTCAGACTCTCTGGATGCTCAGTCCTATGTAACAGTATTTTCTTGAAAGCCCCTGTGCGGGGTGCCACACCATGAAAACCATTTTTCTGCACACTGGCTTGCAATTTGAAAGAGTTATTCTCTGAGGATCAGCAGGTGACAATGGTGGTTAGGCACTGTACTACATGGCTGACCATGGTTCGAGTTCCAGACCTGGTGGCTTTGTAAATCATGCTAAGCATGTGTGCTCAAAATCTTCAGAGAAAGGAAAAGGGATTATTGTGTGTCCATTCCCCACCACCACCCTGGGGAGTGATTTCTCACTTTCCCGATATCTGGCTTGTTCCCTGTGGCTGGATCAGTGTGGTCTTAACAGGGAGTTTTAGGCAACAGCAGGAACCAAGCTCTTCTTCCAGCCCTGAAGTTCATTTCCTGAGTCTTAGCCAGTGGCTTGATTCCTGCCTCAAGAAATGACAAGGCACTAGGCTTGTAGCCTACCCTCTCCCCTTAATATTAGTTCATAATACTGCCTACAGGGTTAACCTACCTCAGGGAGCGTGGTATGAGGACCAATGCAATGTTCACAGGGAGCACCTTTAATTGGAAATGGTACTGGTTGCTCTTTCTGTCTCCTATAAATTTTGGCCCTCGTCCTAACGTGCAAATTCGTCTAGAATTTGCAAGGCTGAAAGTTTTACAGTGTTTACCATATTTTTGTTTTAAATACATTTTTTAGATTTTTAAAAACTTTCCAGCATTTTAAGAATTCAAACACTATTTAAAAATCTAGTTTTTATAAAATTCGAAGTACAATAGTTTTGTATTTTGACAGTGACCTTAAAAATATTATATAAGTATTTAATGTATGATGTCGAAAATTCCATTTTCTGTAAATGAGTTCATTTTCAAAATGTGATATGGTTTATCTTACTGAGGAACTACTGTGTTTTTGAAATTAAAGCCTAAAATGTTAATAAAATTCTTCCCACAGGAATCTCACAAAAGGAGCCCTTTTTAGTTTCTTTGAATTTGGTGGCTATTTCTTTTTAAGCTGTACTAGTGGAGGGCAAAGAAGGAATGTTCTCCAGTAATGTGGTCATCATAAGGCGCTAAAAAATACTCAAAATAAAAAGTATTCACTGGGAGTCTCTAGGTTCTAACACTCTGAAGAGCAATAGGTGTGGTTAAAAATTTGTCCCTCCACAGAAATAACTTTGCTTTTACCATTTTTAAATATTATATAGTCAGTTAAGAGATTTTTATATACTATCAAACTGTATCACTATCCCCTTTTCTAATCAACCCTTGAGACTTCTAGCAACACTAAATTTGCCAGGTAAACTCTGATGCTGCACTTGAAGCTGGCAATGGAATGATATGTCAGGGTAGCCAAAGGGCTGTCTTCTGAATAGTAAAAGCTTCCTTACGAAAACAAAACATAAGTCAGAAAGTATTAGGCCAACAGGTAGTGTGACGATTAAGGTACTGAATCCCACGTGACCAATTGTGGTTCTTGTTCTGGACACAGCAGCTTGAAAAACATGCTTAGTACACGTGTGTGCATGCCCAAGAGAATGAAGAAAGGACGGGTATGTCCATCCGGGCTGGAGGGGTTTCTTTCTCACTTTCCTTCTCTGTGAGGTGAGCACATGTGCCCTATAGCAAATTAAAAACAAACAAACAAAAAATCATGGAGTATCTCAAACTGAATTTTTAGTTTCTAGTTCAAACTGGACCAGGTACTATAATACTATATTTATTTAAAACATAGAATTTACAATGGATAAGAACTTTCTGGCTTCCTGTAACTTAGGAAGGTTGTCCCTAGCCTTAAACACGGTGTGTCCACATAGTGGGTAGGAAGAAGAGATTATTCAGGTTTGGCAAAATTGTAGGAGATATTTTGGTCTATTCCTTTCCAAGTTAATCTGTTAAATAACTTACAGATGTCAAAAGGGATAAGATTCATTTCAGACACACATCAGATTTTCAAAACAACTGAAATCTAAAGTGTGATTACTAGGAGATGCCAAGGGAAGGCCCCTAGTTAGACTACAAGACAAGTTTTTCTTCAGAGTGTAATTTTCCTTCTGCCAGAATATATCTAACTGAGGTTCTGAAGTAGTTCGAAAGTATTCCTTGCTCTGTAACAAAAATAGTATGAAGTACTAAACTCATAGATGAAATGAGTTTAGATGACTGAGTGTTCCCATCGAGTATGCTCACAAATACCATCAGCAACTCCCCCCCCTCAGCAGGTCAGATACAATGTAAACCAAGGGCTTCCATAAGGCAAACACTTCACAACTGGTTGTTTTCTGTTAATTCTTGCGTAAATCACATTCTGTATTCATACAAAAACAACTTAATGTTTTTCTCTGACAAACTGTACATATAGAAACAAATTTCCAATTGGACATGAACTTAAATTTGTGGAGGTGCTCCATGTCTCCTGACACTGAAAAAAAAAAAATTCCAGCTTTTATCTTCACAAAATAACATGGGAGTTAGGGCAATGAGGGCGGACAGGACCAAACAAGGCCAGCTACTCTGGGCAGGCAGCTGGCAGCAGTCTCTGCATCTTGAGTCTCGTGAGAGTTGGTGGCCCAGAAGAGCTCAGGGCTACAGTGGTGCAGGCTTCCTTCTGTTTCTCTTGGTAAGTCCACAAGAGGTTCTTAAATACTGTCCAGAGAGGCCTAGGGTACTCAGCCCAACTTCTACCGGCCCCTTCCACCACCCCTTGATGCTCCTCGCCTTGGTGGGCCAGAGTTCATGTTACTTCCTCGACCCCAATTACTGCCACTGCGGACCCCTCGAGAAGGGGCGCTGCTGCCGGGAGGACCCCCAAAAGGTTCGTCTCTGTGGTATCCATCGTGGTGATCCCCATCCAGGGAGCTGGAACGCCCAGACTTTGGCACTCTCTGAGAAGGTCCTGGGCCCCCTCGGCCTGAAACGAAACATTGATTTCACGTGTATTAGAGACTGTCAATAATTCCTGGTACAAACTTCTTTCTCTGATGACAATGGGCCACTTCTGGGAGGTTCTGATACTAGCATGCCATTCTGAGCATTGAAAGGTGTCCCTCTATCCTTTCCCATCACCAGCTCATTGCCAAGGACTCGGGCTTGGTCCTGAGCATCATCTAGACCTATGTTTCCCAAGGCTGTGTGGCAGATGGTAGGAAGTGCTGAGGGAGGCCCACAGCCACTGCACCATTCTATGGTAAGTGTATCGTCTCTCTCCTATGCCACAAAGTTTTGTTTTGTTTTTTAAGTTTATTTGTTTTATTCATGATAATGCATGCAACAAGAGAAAGACACCTTTGATGGAATTTAATCTGTGATTCTCCTTCCCCAGCCTGCCAGCTTGTCAGTATCTTGAGTGTGTTTAGGTCAACCAGGATGGGGATCCAAACCCATGCATGCTTAGCAATGCAGCCCACAGCTCTGCAGTCCAGCCTGCTACTGACTGTGGCACCGGGCCAGGCCCCAACCAGGGTTATTTTCAGGAAGATTTGGAAAGCACTGACTCAACTTTGGAAGCAACTAAAACCCACAGCTGGTGTTGCCATTAAAGAGAAGCACTCCAGCTAGGATAAGTGATCACTGATTATCTTGCATCCTGTGGCACTTCAGCTTCCTTTTACATAGTGAACAATATACGTCTTAAAAAGCACAAAAGAAGGGCCAGCAGGTGGCGTGGTGCTTAGTAGTGTTGGATTCCCAAAGGGCCGATTGTGGTGGTTTGAGTCCTGACCTGGCAACTTGCTTTCTGGCTTTCCCTTTCTCTCTCTCTCTCTGTCTCTCCCTGGTCAAATTAAAATAATAATATTAATTATAACACATGGAATTAAATAAATAAATAAATCTCTCTTTTTTTTTAAATACAAAAGAAAAACTGATTTTCAGAATTATTTCTCCCAGAGGTAGGTTAGCTTATTTAAGACTTGGACACGCAAATGTTTAAGTGCAAATAAATTCTATATTTTAAATTTTCTTCTCATGAGAGTATAGGATTGGTCACATCTCCCATAATGTGTCCTCAGAAGACTAGCCTACTTAATCCTGTCTTAATGTTTTTAAACACAATTCAAGTCTGATTGAGATGAAAAGGTTAGGAGAGCTACCACCTAATGATCTTCCCTTTCTTCCTTACAGCACAGCTAGACCCAGTGTGCCTGGGTAGAGAAGTCATCAGCTAAAGCACCATTTCTACACTCGCCACATGTCCTCAGCCACAGGAGCTAAAAAGGTGTCCCAAGTGCCCATGAAGGTCATCCAAGACATACCATATTGAGTAGTAGCAAAATGGGTTAGGGTAGGGAACATCTACTGCAAATGCATGATGTAATTTCTGCAGGTTTTGCTTGGAGAAGACTCAGATGAGAACTGAGAACAACAAGCAGAACTTGTAACAAGGATGGATTATAAGTGAAAGCAGGTTAACTCGGGGCCCAAAGCACAGGCTTTCTAGAAACTCTAAACCACAGCATGGACCTGGCTGCCTGGCCTCTCTGAGACCAGAGCTGGAAGGCAGCTCTCAGGGTGCTACTGGAGGCAAAGAATTAGTGCTACCTATAAATAATCAGAGCTTCAAGATGTAGAGATAATCTAGTGCTCCCCTCAAAGCCTCCCAGAGACCATGTTCCCCAAAGACTTTGTAACTTTGAACATACGCACTTTCCTTCTGGACACAGGCTGAAAATCCAACACAGAATCTAGGAGAGGACAACTGTTCCCCTCTCACCAAAGATATCCTTGAGGGCTGTGAGCAACCACTGGTGAAAATATGACTGTCAATTTGAGCAGGAGTCTATAGAAAGCAAGCTCAGCAGACAGCGCTATGCACCCTGGCAGAGAGCAGAAGGGGAACCCTGACCGAACCAGAGACTCCTAGAAGCCCGTCACAGGGTTGGCTCAGAGCCACAATATGAGAGCTCAACTCCACTACAGTGTGGACATCACATTTGAGAGCAGGTGGCATTGCACAGCCTCGGCCTAGAGGGTGATATCAAGACAGAGTCTGAAAGACCTCAGCAGGGGCACCCACACAGGCATAGACGAGGTCTCCTGCAGACCCACTACCCCTAGAATGAGAACATAGGCTTCTACTCACCTTTGCCTCGATCCTCAGAAGGGCCCCCAGGGGCATCCATTTCTCTGTGCTCAGAAGTGCCTGGCCCATCGTGCCAGGGGCGCTTTCGGGGTGGCAGGGATGCCATGTCCATGCCTTGGAGAGAAGAGGAGCGCTCTCTGCTGGCTGGGGAATGACCATCATGAGGGGGATGATCAGGGCGAGGGGCATCTCGGAAATGTTCATGGCCCGGTCCTGAAACAAGAAACACGCTCTCCTTATGGTGCAGCAGGGTGTACCAAAAGCAAGCAGAAGTATACACCACCACCATCACAGAGCATGCAGAGCAGCCTGAGCCACCATGTGTTCACACAGGAAACAGCTGCTGACACCCAGCATAGGTGCATGTCACATGGTAAGTGCATGAAAAAGATCAAGATCAGAAACCAGCCTGCTCCTACGCGGGAGGAGGAGGTCAGCCCAGACAAACGGTTCTCAGACATGTCAGTCTCAGGATGTCTTTATACTCAAGTTACTGAGGACCCAGAGAGATTTCATTGATGATGGGGGATAGCTACTAATAGTTACTATATTAGCAATTAAGATCAAGAAAGATTAATTCATTTACTTTTCAAAAACAAGACAATTTAATGAAAAGAATGGTTCAGTTATATATTGAGACAAACCCCTTTAGTGTCTGGTTTACTAGAGGAAAGCAGGATTCTCTATCTGTTTCTGCATTCTACATATAGACAAACGCTGTGGCTGAATGGCATGGAGTCATGGAGGTTTGAGTTGGAAAAAAGAGGGATTGGTGGATCCCTGGGAATGCTCTTGAATCCACTTTGTGAACTGCAGGCCCAATCTCACCAGAAGACACCCAACCAGCAGTTCTCGCTCCTTACCTGGCTCCCTGTTTCCATCCCAGGAGTCTGGCTTCCGTCCTCCTTCAAAGCGAGGGAACTCGTCAGGAGTGGGCAGTAACCCCTTCCTTCCTCCTGTGCAATGAACAAGCAATGCTGTGTTCACACGCTGTCTCAGGTGTGCCCACAGCCACCCCGCTCTGCCATCCTGCTCTTCCAGACCTGATGTCCTCAGCACCCACCCACTCACCTCGTGGGGTGCCCCGACCTCGACCTCTGAGATCACGTCCTCGGGCTGCTTCATCAGAAGCATCAAAACTCTCTTCTGGACCAAAGTCTTCAGGACCTGGAAAACCATCCCTTCCTCTGGGGGGTGCACGGCTCTCATGTCGGGGTGGGGCTCCTCTTCTGAAGCTGTAAAGAAAACACAGCAGTGTGTCCATCTCATTAAGTATCTTGATGCTCTAAGTTCATATTTCAAAGAAGCATAATGATAAGGGAGAATGATACAATATCAACTGGGAGAAAGGCAGAATAAGCTATACTTGTATTTCCGATTGCCAGAGGGTATGTATGCTCACCAGGGAGACAAAGACAGAGTCAGAAAGGGAGGAGAAAGCGCCCCCCAATGGGGGGAGGTCATGCCGCAACCTCTTCTCTTCCATTCCTCCATTCTGTTGGGATCTAGGGCACATATGCACAAGAACCTGGCACGATTTTCAGGCCACCAGGGCTGAGAGTCAAACCACGGCTGACCATGTGGAATTCAGTTCCCTTTACCACTAGGCTAAGTGACCAGCCCTTTTCTTTCTTTTTTTTTTTTTTTTTATTGTAGGGTGCATACACTCACCAGAGACAGACAGAGACAGAAAGAGGACAGTGAGAAAGCAGCCCCCAAGGGGGGGACCACGCCACAATCTAGTAATCCTCTCAGGATTTTGGGCATGCACACATATGTGCCTAGTGTGTTTTTCAAGCCACCAGGTCCAGGACTTGAACCACACAGTCGGCATCTATTGGCATTTAGCAGCATTGCCAATAGACGTTCCCCACTCTAATACACATTTCCTACTACTTAAAATGCTATGATCTTGGATGACCTTCATGGGTGCCCAGGACACCTTTTTAGCTCCTGCAGCCGAGGACACGTGGCTAGTATAGGAATAATATATTAGCAGGTTAAATCCAGCTGCCTTAACCTCTATGCCATCTGTTGGCCCAACCCTATATTTTTAAAACTATAAATTTTACAATTTCAATATTAAAGGCAAATACATGAAAGAAACATAATGAAATGTGGGGTTAGTTTAAGTTTCTCTTAGGCTTTCAGGAATAATAATAGCAGTAAACGTGTTACGTGCTTATATCATGCCAAGTGCTTTACTCAGAATATTTCACTTCATTTCAGTCACACAACTGCCTTATGAGGCCAGTACTATTATTAACTCTGGTTTGTTTGTTTTTTTTTTCCCCCTGTGGGGAGAGGTTTTTGCTATAAGGATGTGCGCTTGCCAGAAAGAGAGAGAAAGAGACAGAAAGTGAGAAATCACTCCCCAGGGGGTATGGTCACACGGCAATCCCTTTTCCTCCATTCTCTTCTCTGGATCTTGGGCACACATGCACATGTGCCTAGCGTGAGTTTAAGCCACTGGGCCTGGGACTCGAACTGCAGTCGACTACATGGGAGTCCAGTGACCAGCCAACTGCTGGTCCTTAACTCTGTGTTACCGATGGGAGATTGAGACTCAGATAAAGATGTTTGTCTCTTTAAAGTCATACAGTGTGTGTCAATTGCGATTTGAACTCAACCAGTCTGAAGCCTGGGCCTAGTCTCTTTATCACTACATCCCAAATACTTTTCATTATCATCTACGTTTTTATGATGCACATTTATTACTTACATAATACAGATCACGCCTGCCAACTGTACTGGACCTGTTCTAGAGTGCCTGCTCTGCCACCTGCCTGGGCAGGCCTACGCGGCCTGGGTTGTAGAGGGCCTGCTCTGCCACCTGCCTGGGCAGGCCTACGCGGCCTGGGTTGTACCAATAGCCCCGCTCCACAGCTGACTGGCGTACTGGTAGCATCTGGCCACAGGGAGCCCACTCACTGCCTAGCTGCAACCTGTTCCCCTAGTGGGAGGACACCTTCCCCTTCTCTTTCAGGTATTTTGGAACTAGGAGACTAAGTTGGCTGGGAGCATTACTAGAGCACAGCGGTTACAGGGAAGCCTGCCGGGAAGCAGAGAAAGTGGCCTTCAAGCAGGAAGTACATCAAGAGAGGACAGGAACACTGGAGAGAGGGTAAGAGGAGACGTGGGCCACTCTGTGTGAGCTACCATGCCTATGGCCTCCTCCCCACCAGGTCTTCCATTTTTTCTTGAGTTTCCATTAGTTATCTTTGTTTTTATAAGTTAGTTTTTTTCATGAGAGTGAGAGAGAGACTGAGAAAGAAAGAGAATGAAGTGCTCTCTGCAGGAACTCACACTGCAGTCCACCCCCACCCGCCACCGCCTTCCCAGCTAGCCAGGACTATGGGTAAGCATGTACTTAGCATGTATAGAGAGGCCAACCAGGGAACCGAACCCAGGATCTTCCGAATGGATCCAGCTTTGCTTGAATGGCATGTTCAAATTAAACCACTGAGTTGTCCCTCCATTAGTTTTTTACTCCAATTTTTTACTTTTATTTATTTATTTAAGTTTTGCTATTAGGGCACATGCTCATAGGAGAGAGGGGAAAAAAACATCACCCTCTAGGGGGGATGGCCATGCTGCAATCCCTTCTCATCTGTCTTCTTCTCAGAATTTTGGGCACATGCACCCTTCAGGCTGTACAGTCGGCCATGTAACCACCAGCTGCTTTAACCACAACACCAGCAGCTGGCCCATATCTTCTTGCCTCATAGTAAAGTACAATGACTACCCAGAGATCTTTACTTAATCACATGTGCTTTTATCTTCTCTCTGTCCGTCTATTTACAAATGCCTTTTCTAGTCCGTGTGAAAAGCGGATACTGACAACATGACACTTGATCCCTGCATACTTCAGTAGTTTAAGGACTTCATCCCACATAACCACAGTACCATTATCACTCTCAATAATATGTGATATTATTTAATATACAGTTCAACTCAAATCTCCCCAACTGTCCCCAAACTGTCCTTCACAGTTGGTTGTTTTTAAATAAAGAATTCAATTATGACCATGTGCTGTTATTGCTTGCCAGAAAGAGAGAGAAAGAGACAGAAAGTGAGAAATCACTCCCCAGGGGGTATGGTCACACGGCAATCCCTTTTCCTCCATTCTCTTCTCTGGATCTTGGGCACACATGCACATGTGCCTAGCGTGAGTTTAAGCCACTGGGTCTGGGACTCGAACTGCAGTCGACTACATGGGAGTCCAGTGACCAGCCAACTGCTGGTCCTTAACTCTGTGTTACCGATGGGAGATTGAGACTCAGATAAAGATGTTTGTCTCTTTAAAGTCATACAGTGTGTGTCAATTGCGATTTGAACTCAACCAGTCTGAAGCCTGGGCCTAGTCTCTTTATCACTACATCCCAAATACTTTTCATTATCATCTACGTTTTTATGATGCACATTTATTACTTACATAATACAGATCACGCCTGCCAACTGTACTGGACCTGTTCTAGAGTGCCTGCTCTGCCACCTGCCTGGGCAGGCCTACGCGGCCTGGGTTGTACCAATAGCCCCGCTCCACAGCTGACTGGCGTACTGGTAGCATCTGGCCACAGGGAGCCCACTCACTGCCTAGCTGCAACCTGTTCCCCTAGTGGGAGGACACCTTCCCCTTCTCTTTCAGGTATTTTGGAACTAGGAGACTAAGTTGGCTGGGAGCATTACTAGAGCACAGCGGTTACAGGGAAGCCTGCCGGGAAGCAGAGAAAGTGGCCTTCAAGCAGGAAGTACATCAAGAGAGGACAGGAACACTGGAGAGAGGGTAAGAGGAGACGTGGGCCACTCTGTGTGAGCTACCATGCCTATGGCCTCCTCCCCACCAGGTCTTCCATTTTTTCTTGAGTTTCCATTAGTTATCTTTGTTTTTATAAGTTAGTTTTTTTCATGAGAGTGAGAGAGAGACTGAGAAAGAAAGAGAATGAAGTGCTCTCTGCAGGAACTCACACTGCAGTCCACCCCCACCCGCCACCGCCTTCCCAGCTAGCCAGGACTATGGGTAAGCATGTACTTAGCATGTATAGAGAGGCCAACCAGGGAACCGAACCCAGGATCTTCCGAATGGATCCAGCTTTGCTTGAATGGCATGTTCAAATTAAACCACTGAGTTGTCCCTCCATTAGTTTTTTACTCCAATTTTTTACTTTTATTTATTTATTTAAGTTTTGCTATTAGGGCACATGTGCTCATAGGAGAGAGGGGAAAAAAACATCACCCTCTAGGGGGGATGGCCATGCTGCAATCCCTTCTCATCTGTCTTCTTCTCAGAATTTTGGGCACATGCACCCTTCAGGCTGTACAGTCGGCCATGTAACCACCAGCTGCTTTAACCACAACACCAGCAGCTGGCCCATATCTTCTTGCCTCATAGTAAAGTACAATGACTACCCAGAGATCTTTACTTAATCACATGTGCTTTTATCTTCTCTCTGTCCGTCTATTTACAAATGCCTTTTCTAGTCCGTGTGAAAAGCGGATACTGACAACATGACACTTGATCCCTGCATACTTCAGTAGTTTAAGGACTTCATCCCACATAACCACAGTACCATTATCACTCTCAATAATATGTGATATTATTTAATATACAGTTCAACTCAAATCTCCCCAACTATCCCCAAACTGTCCTTCACAGTTGGTTGTTTTTAAATAAAGAATTCAATTATGACCATGTGCTGTTATTTACTGCTCATATCTCTTTGGTTTGTTTTAATCTAAAACAAATCCCTCCTTTTTGTCTTTCATGACCTTGACATTTCCTTCCTTCTTCAAATTTCTTTCTTTGGTGAGAGAGAAGCACTCTCAACAGAGTGACATGCCATGACTCTCCCCCAGCCTTCCCAACCAGCCAGGTCATAGGAACGTGTGGCCCCACATGCACAGATCAGCCCAGGGAATGAGCCCTGGTTTCCAGTGGCACTAGCACCCCAGAGCAGTGCACTGCACTATTGTGGCTGGCTACCTAGACATTTTTGAAGGGTATGTCTAGGATACAGAATGGTCCACAATCCTAATTTATCGACATGTTTCCCCATGATTAGATTCAGTTTAAACATTTAAAAAAAAAATAGGTTTTTGTCATGGGGTATGCGCACTCACTGGAGAGAAATGGAAACAGTGAGAGGGAAAGTAAAAAAGTCACGCCCCAGTGGGGGATGGCAATGTCACAATCCCTTCTCCTCCATTCTCTTACTGGGATCTTAGCCACATGAGCATACACGCCCAGTGTGATTTTCAAGCCCCTGTGTCTAGGACTCGAACCATAGTCGGCTATATGGGAGTCCAGTAACATAACCACTAAGCCATCTGCGCCCCAGTTTAAACATTTTTTATAAGAACTGCTCGGACTTTCTCATGATGCCAGTTTGTCTCACTGTTTATGTGTAAAGGTAGTGTGTCAACCAGAATGCGCAGTTCCAAAGGACCATATTCCCCTGGGTAACTAACAAGCTATCTGTAGGGTTATACTGTGGCACCTTGAGAGCACTAACTCCCTAGTCTCTCTTTATTTTTCCTCTAATTGGGTGGAGAGGCACATGGGAGGAAGAAGGGAAGAGAGAGACAGGTATTTTAGATAGGGTCTCACAGCTGCAATCTTCCTGCCCTAGCCTCTCAGTTAGCTAGGTTATAAACATGCACCACCATGCCCAGACTATTCAGGGTCATCCAGGATCCAAACCCAGTCCTCCCATGAGGTCCCAGGCTTGTGAAACAGTGCTCTACCGCCAGCACAACTGGGACTCCCTAAGGTCTTCTACCCAATGGTTTGAGCATCTAATGATGACTCTTGGCTTTTATCAACTGTGCCACTGGTTACTTATAAAAGAGGTGATTTTCGGGAACCAGCAGTTAGAGTAATGGCTATGTCACTGGACTCCCACGTAGTCGACCGCGGTTTGCGTCCCGGACCCAGTGGCTTAAAACTCACGCTGGGTGCGTGTGCGTGCATGCCCAAGATCCCAAGAAGGGAATGGAGGAGAAGGGACTGCGGTGTGACCATCCCCCCTGGGGGGTGATTTCTCGCTTTCTGTCTCTATGTCTCTCTCTGTCTGGCGAGCACACGCGCCCTATAGCGAAAATCTCTCCAAAAAAAAAAAAAAAAAGAGGTGACTTTCTAATTATATCACTCCTCCTCCTACAGTTGTTACTAGGCATTCTGTTAAAAAAAATTTTTTTGAACGAAAGAACTTTTTCTTTTCCGTTCTATCTCTCTAGCTTTTTAATAATCTTCTTGGTCCTAAGCTAAGTTAGCCAAATCACGCTTCCTGCAAGCAAAGAGGTATGCCCAGGACACCAGCTGAAATAATAAGCTATGGCACAGATGGAATGGGGAGAGGAGGAGGAGATGGGCCCGGAACAGTTTCAGTGGGGACGACTGTTTCCATGAAACAGAAACATAGCAGGATTCTTCTTTTGTCCAGGCATCTGCTGTACACTGCCCTACTTATAAAGGAACAGAGAGGAGCTAATTTGCTTTTATTAGAAAATACCTACTGTTATGGACTAAATATTTGTGTACCCCTCCTTCCACATGCTGATGCTCTAAGCCCCAATGTGATGATGCCTGGAGATGACAGGCTGGATGAGGTCATGAGGGTGGGGTCCTGATGACGGGAACAGGGCTCTTAGAAGAGAAGACAAAGAAAGGCTCATGTTCAGCCCCACCATGGGAGGACACAGTGAGAACACAGCCATCTGTTGGCCTAGAAGAAAGCCCTCAGTGGAAACAGAACATGCCAGGCCTTGAACTTCTAGCCTCCATACCTGTGAGAATATAATGTTTGTGGTTGAAGCTGCCTTGTCTGTGGCACCTTTCTATAGCAGCTGGACGGATGAAGATACCGCCAAGTGGAATGACTCCTCTCCAGGACTCACCTCCTGCACAGAATTACTGACTGACTAAACAGTCACTGAGCACACAGTATGCTGCCACCACTGCTCTGGCCTTGGGGACAGGTGCAAACAAAGCCCCTGTCTTCAGAGAGCCAATATGCTTATGGGACATACAGGCACTAAAGAAATGAATAGACCACTTCAGGGGGCCGGCAGGTGGCATGGTGGTTAAGGACGCTGGACGCCACATGGCCAACCACAGTTTGAGTGCGGACGGCAGCTTGCTTTCTCACTTCCCTTCTCTCTTTCTCTGTCCCTCTCTGGTCAAATTAAAATAAAATAAATAAAGTAGTTCTTTAAAAAATGTCTATATCACTTCATGTCAAGCAGTGCTACCTGCTATGAAGAAATACAAGGCACAGTAAAGGAAGTAGGCATGGCAGGAGTGTGTGCGTCCCAGGCGGAAAGAAGAACAAGGACAAAGATATAGGAGCAGGAGCAGGCTGGGAGCATTTGAAGAACATGACAAAGCTGTGATGGCACAAGAGTCTTAGCTGAGGGTGTGCCACTGGCAAGAAATATTCCCCAAATGGAGGCATGGTAAAATGTGAAATTTTGCATAAGATACCGAGATTCAAGAAACTGGTTCAAGATATGTTTATGCCAAACTCTTACAGACATTTTGAAGAGAATGCTTATTATCAACAGGCCGTAAGAGAACTGAGAACCCACAGATACATATTCTGATCCCTACAGTGACTGCTTCCCTTCGTCCTAGTCATCCTCCCTCCTGACCATGTTCTCAAACACACCGCCAGAGGGTGGGATGGCCAACCTGCAAACCATCGTGTGAGGCAACAGCAATGAGAACTGTGAGGTGACACCATGCCTGTGGGCCAAGCGGGCAGCACCAGCCAGCGCCGACTCCACCACCACCCAGGAGGCTCTGGAGTCTCGCATCTACTCTGACCTCAGCAGGATCTCTTATCTAGAATACCTATCTCCCATATTCCTGGTACCTACTAAGTGCATTGCAACACCTGGCACACAGTGAGTGCTCAAATATCATCATCAATTACTCAGATTCTCACTTGCTATTTCACTAATTCCTGTTTTTTCCTTCCATCTTTCCCGAATTCCTTCTTCACCTCAAGCTAGCTGAGAATTCAAGCCTGATTTGAGTTTATGAAGATTGTTTCTCAGTTTGATTTGACTCTGTTACGATATTTAGGCAATTACACAGTAACTGTATCTACTTCACAAGCCCTTTAGTTACAGTCTAGGTATCTGTCTGGTGCTTCATTGTTGTGATCAAGAAGAATCCAGACATTTCTCATCACAGCCAAGAAATTCTTATAGTATACTGATTTACCCATCTCTGTAAAAAAGACCAAAACACAGGAAATAAAGAAAAAGGCTTCTCAACTGAAAGAATAAAAAAAATAAAAATAAAAAAACACAGATAAATGTTGAAAAGCATACATTCTTAAGTCTCAACACTAAATCTACAGAGGGTATGGTTTGATGGAGATTGTCCTCTTTGTCCCTGAGAGATGAGGAAAGAGAGCTCTGCAGAGAGGAGAGACAGAACTCCAGGGAAGGTGCAGTGGACCCACAAAACGTCTGTCCCACCTTTCTTCTCTGCGTCCTCGGAAACGAGGGTCCTCAGGATCCCGGGGGAATCGCTCGTCTCCAGGTCTGCGGCCTTCCCATGCCCCTGGAGGGCCTCGGGCAGCGCCCCGGCCGTCCCCTTCGCTGAACTCCCTGTGATCAGGTGGAAATGGAGGCCCAGGGCCCCCACGCCTCCACTTCTCTTCTTGTGGCAAAGGTCCTCCTCGCCCCTCAAATTCACGTAACCGGTGGCCAAAGCGCTTGTCAGGGTGAAAGTCATCTGGTCTGCCGAAGTCATCAGGGAAGTCAGGGTGAGGGCCACGTCTATCAGGGGGGCCCCTGCAGTCCTGGCCACCCCGGAAAGGCCCCCTGTCAGGCCCGTGGTCAGGGCCACCGCTCTGCTCATGCCGCCGCTCCGACATTGGGCCCATGTGATGGTTGGGAGGCCCTCGGGAGTCACCTAAAGGAAACAGAGCTGACTTTACCACATCTTCCAGCACAGCTGCCACTATAGTCTGAGGCAGCTTCTGAGTTTCAGAAGGCATCCTTTCAGTTAGCATGTTTCCCCTCCTTGGTCCTCAGGATCCTTAGAAGACAATATCCTTGGGCATTATATAATAAAAAGAGCATGGGCTCTGGGAGCAGATTCCAACTTCATCCCTCGTTAGTCAAGTAACTTGCCCTTAGGACAAGGCCTCATCTCAAGTGAGATCAGCCACATCCACCTCCTGGTATGAACCAGGAAACATGAGAGCCTCCGGGGTGTGAGGCGGAGCTTCCTTTCCTGCCCTATCATTTCAATGACTTTATTAAGCCCCTGCTCCATGGCCAGGGAGCACATAACAGAGATCAATGCTGTAGGCCAGGAAGCAGAGCACCAAGCAGTCACTATCCCTTGGGAAGGCCAGAGTGTACCAACAGGGTGCGAGTGTGTACTGCCACCACCAGAGGTGCAATGGTGCACCTCTGACCCTGAGCTCACTTAACTTGATGCCTTAACTCACAATGAGTCGGCAAATTCAGGTGCAGGGAACTGCGGACCTCTCTCTGACTGCCTGATGACCTGATAGCCCTGCTGCTCTTCATCTTCAGGGTTTATATGTACGCTCTTTCCATGACTAAGTCCCTCATCTACTATATTATCACCATTCTTTGCACACAAGCTTTGGCATCCCACTGACCTGTATTTTTTTAAGAGGTTTTTTGTTTTTTGTTTTTGCCTTCAGGCACATGCACTCACAGGAGAAAGAGGCGGTGAGCGGGAAAGTGAGAAATCACCTTCGAGGGATGGCCACACCACAATACCCTTTTTCCTCCACTTTCCTCCTAGGATCGCGGGCACGCATGTCCAAGCACGCAGTGTACGTTTCAAGCCACCGGGTGTGGGACTCAAACTGCAAGCGGCCATGTGAAAGTCCTGTGACATAACACTACGTTTTCTGTTGGCCCTCACCCTAATCCTATCTTAAAATATTAGAATATAAGTAATATATTCAAAGTACAGAATAAAAATGGAAAGAGGCCAACTAAATTTGGGATGGTCAGCTTAGTTCACCTCCTAACTCTGAAGGGATGACTTTCCTGGGTACTGAACTACAACTTGACAGTAAAGGTGAACCCATCCTTGTCCCACAGGGAGCCGTGACTGCCCCCCCACGCCCCGGAAGCTGGTTATTCCTTGGTCTTTTCCAGCCCCCTTGCCTGCCCACATGTCTATGAAGCTTACAAATCTCAGTATAAAGTGGATCTTAGATGGAGTCTCTCTTCCCTTAAGCTCTTTCTGTTCCTCTGTCCCCTCTGCCAGTCCTCTCTACACTGAGAACATCCTCTAATTGCCTCTGCTTGGTTGGTCTGCAAATATCCGATGGCCACTTCGTTTTGGTAGTCACCCTCGCCTCACAGCATGTTCTTGCAGCTAACAGCTTCCTCTCTGGCTTATTTATATGGCTGGAATTTGGTATAACCTCAGATATAGTAGACCTGTGACCTCCAGAAGCTGGAACATACTCCATATGGACTTACCTATGAACATTAGTACTCCCATCACCTCTATCTGTTTAAAAGAACCCTGCTCTTCCAAGAAAAGAAACCCACCACTACAAATTAGAAGGGATGTGGCCACCGGTGACGGGGCGGCGGCGGTGGTTAATCCAGTAGGGGATGGCAGGGCCACTTTCTCGGCTCTCCCTTCTCCCTTTGGTCCCTGGGAGGAGAGAGAGGAGGAAGAAAAAGGAAGAGGGGAGAGGGCAAAGAGAAAAGGGGAAGTGCAAGGAGAGGGAAATAGGCAGACAGACACAGGGTAGGGAGAGGAAGAGAGGCAGCTCTCAGTTTGTTGATGGCAGTACCTTGCAGGTAAAAGACTCTTCTTTCTCTCCTTAGGGTCCCCAAACCTACAACCAGATCTAGGACCTTCCTTTCTCTATCTCCCTGTTGGCCACCTTTCATCTGTACCTCCTCTGCATCTTCCACACAATAAGACAGAAATGAACTCTAATTCCTTTTTCTTTTCTACCTCTAAAATCACATACATGCCAGACTAAGCTTTAAATTCTGTCTTTTCTTTATCTAAGAAACCTAACACACACCCCACAGGGCTTTGGGCTCAGCAAATTAAAAGTGAAAGAGAGAACTTCTATGGTCTTCCCAGCACTCCTGTGAATCTGAAGCAGGTCCTTCTCAGCCCCAATCCAGAGCTCTCCCACAGCCGCCCTGCCCTGCCCTGCCCTGCCCTGCCTTCCCGCGCCCCCCCGCCCCTCCCCTCCCCTGCCCTGCCCTGCCCTGCCCTGCCCTGCGCCTCCTGCTCTGCACACAGGGGTGGGGGCGTAGTGTTCCACTCCCAATCTGCACGTGTACTCTTCCATCTAAGAATTACTCTTAACTTCCAAATAGCTCCACCTCCAAATGTTGACAAGCCCCATCTCTGGGTTTTGCATACAATCAACAACCTGAGGCACCACACATCCATACAGTTGCTTTCTTCCTTCCACATGGTGCACAACAATATAACCAGTTAAAGAATTCAGTGGATGGCTCAATATGGGGACAAGGGGATGGTAATAAAAGCACTGCTAAAGGCCTGAATTCTTTGTCCAGTCAAAATATTTATGCAGAAACGATTAATCTCTTTGGGATGATAAAAACATGCTATTGCATTCAATGAGCATAGGAATCCCTTCTGTGCCCCAAACTTGGACAAGGCCCACCTTGGCACAGGCACTACCACTGGGGCTGTGGGGTGGTGAGAGGCAACTTTCCTCTGGCCAGCACTGTTGCCTAACTAACAAATCTATGAATGCGCCACAAGACAATGCTATTACTTGAAACCACTGTGCCCTTATTTTTCCCACAGTTCTGAATACTTACCTTTGTTAGGGCCAGGGCCTTGTCCAGGGTTCAGAGGTGGGATGCGACCTTGTGCTCCTTGCTGCCCTAGGCCTGGTATCAAGGGTGGGGGGCCTGTACTTTGTCCTTCCTGAAAAGATGTTTTTAAAACAGAATGTGAGATCATAGGCTTGTGTTCCTGAATAACAATAGTATTATTATGTGATGACATAAAAGCAGGAGGTTGCCCCAGAGCCTCCAGCAGTAAACATTCAGCCAGACATTCTAGTGAAATTGTCTTTAAACTGGGATAAATACTTCTCTTACCATAATAAAATACAGGAAACACCTGTACTTTAAACCTGCTGGCAGGTTTTATTTAAAGCTAGACTTTACTGTGATGCCAAGCAGAAAAATCAAGGGAAAGTCAGAAATCCTAACACAGTACCATCACTGCTATGCACAGGAGGAGGAATTTCTGGCAAAGTGCACAGAAAACTATGCTGCCACACCCAGCACCTACCAGCCATGCTCTCTAAGGCTGGGACAGGAGGAGAAAGGGGCTCCTGCTGAGTGAATCAGCCCCATTGGCTCCCCTTTTCTGCTTTTCCCTCCCTCTCCCTCTTTCTTCTCCCCCTCTCCCTCTTTCTCATCTCCTTTCCCAAGCACCCTTCTGCTCAGGTCCAGCCAAACCCCCCACACCATGCTGGATTCACAGGGTCCCACAGCTTCTGCCTGACACAAGTCTGCTGCTCAGAGACTGTCTCACTGCTTGGGACCCTGGAGCTTCAGCCAGCTTGTCCCTAGTCCTGATATACTGTGCTCCTAGCCAAGTCTAAATCCTGACTCCCCACACTGTCCATGATGGTGGACCAGGTTTCTTGACAAACAAACGTGTATTCTGTCATTCCCTCATACAAAATACATTTAGAGACTGGAGCTACTGTGAGAATGAACAGTTTTGGGACCAACAGGTGGCGCAGCGGTTAAGGTGCTGGACACTCCCACATGGCCAACCACGGTTCTAGTCCCAGACCTGGTGGCTTGCTTTCTCACTTTCTCTGTTTCTCTCTCTGTGTTCTTTCTCTCTCTGTGTGGTGTGTTTCTCTGTGGTCAAATTAAAGAATAAGTGAACGAATAAATAAAATTAAATAAATAATTCTTAAAAAAAGGAAAGAATAAGAGTCTCAAAACCATCAATAACAAAATTGCTCTCATGTCCCAAACCAGCCACGCCAAGGGAAAGCCATGCAGGAGGTAAAATGGCCGTCACTGCCCCTACGTCAGTAATGTCTAAGCTGTTTGGCTGCCTGTCTCTTTAACTCCAGGGCAGCTCTTAGCTTGAAAGCAATTCCACTAATCTAACCAATTAAAACAACTAGATTAAATAACTGGTCCTGTCAAAGTGAAGAAAGTTTAGATTTCAGTATATAAGAACTATGAACAAAGATTTTTTTATTATGTATCTTTAGATATTTGAAGTGTCCTACAAAATATCAAATCTTCACTCCTTCTACCACTGTTTCTGTAGGTGAATTAAAATTCCAGAATCACTATGCTTTTTATGTATAAATCTTTGACTACATAGTACAATAAAAACTCTTAATGAATTTGTCATAGAAACTCTGGCTATCCTCTTGTGTTTGTAATCTCAGTTATAATATAGTAGCTAAAATTCTTTTTTTTTTTTTTAAGCATTTTTCTTTCTTCCTTCCTCCCTCCCTCCCTCCTGCCTGCCTGCCTTCCTTCCTTTAAATTTGACCAGAGAGGGAGAGAGTAAGAGAGAGAGAGAAAACCAAGCCTCCAGTTCTGGGACATGAACACAGTTGGCCATGTGGAGTCCAGTGCCCTTAAAAAAAAAATGGAAATAGTGGGGCGAGCAGATGGTGTGGTGGTTAGGGCACTGGACTCCCACATAGCTGACCAGCTTAAGTCCCAGATCTGGTGGCTTGCTTGCTCACTTTCCCTCTCCCTCTCTGTCTCTCTCTGGTGAGTGTGTATGTCCTGTAGCAAATTTTAAAATAACAACAATGAAAAATAAAATTAAATTAAATTATAAAAAATAATAAAGGAAATAGTGAGGAAATAGGAACCTCATGAGTTAAATGCTCCAGACTATCTTAAAGTAGAGCTGGCTGACAGTTTGAGGAGGTCAGGTGCTGGCAGGCCTGTCGAACACCCGGCTACAAAGTAAAGGGCCCACAAGAGGGACATGCCTCACAGAACTGCCCATAACAAAACATACCTCTTCCTCAAGGCCACAGCTCCTGCAGAGCCCAAGGGCAGTTATCAACTCTATTTGAGAGCTGATCTTTTCTGGAAGCATCTTTATTTTAAAAATAATGTTAAGGGGCCAGCAGATGGCGTAATGGTTACGTAGCCAACTGTGGTTCAAGTCCCGGACCTAGAAGCTTGAAACTCATACCGGGTGCATGTACATGTGTGCCCCAAATCCCAAGAGAATGAAGAAGATATTGCAGAGTGGCCACCCCCCCCCCTTTTCTTTCTCTCTCTGGTGAATGCATATGCCCTATAGGGAAAAAAAAGGGTTGAGAAGTAAAGATTAATATTGAGATCTACTTAACCATGGTGGAATAACCTAACTTATCATTATTATTTCCTTTTTTTCAGCCAGGGATGCTACTGAGGCCACCATCATCACTTAAGAACTATTTGTACCCAGTTGTAACTGCTGTTTCCAATACCCAGCAGCACTGCGTCAGTACAAAGTGCATTTCCCAGTGTGTTAATGCCGATAAGTTGGAAGTAAATAATACCTGATTGAAGGGGGCCCGGGGCCCATCGCCTAGCAGAGGTGTTTTCTGCTGCTGGAATGGTATTGGACCTTGAGGTGGATGTGGCCCTCTTGCCGGGTTCTGCTGTCCCTGAGGTCCAGGGGGCCCTTGCATGCCACCCTGGGGTGGAGGTCCCAAAGAGCCCTGGGGCGGCCCCTGCTGACCTTGTGAGCCTGGAGGCCCCCGCAACTCCTGAGGGCCCATCATCGATCCTTGAGGCGGAGGCCCCTGCATGCCTCGCATCTCTTGAGGACCTCTCATTTCCTGAGGGCCATGTCCTAGTAGTCCGCTTGGAGGGTGAGGTCCTCTCATCTCTTGAGGTGGGTGGCCCATCATCATACCTTGAGGAGCAGGACCCTGATTCTCCCGTGGACCTGGAGGCCCTTGTATTCCTCGTGGATTCAGTCCCATCAGGGGTCCCTGAGACACCGGACCTTGGATCCCTTGAGACCCTGGTCCGCCTTGTATCCCGTGAGGATGAGGAGGTCCTTGCATTCCTCTGGGACCAGGTGGTCCCTGCATTCCTTGAGTACCAGGAGGTCCCTGAGGGCCCAAGTGACCCTGGGGACCAGGCGGGCCTTGAGGGCCTATGTGTCCCTGTGGACCAGGTGGGCCCTGAGGACCCATGTGACCTTGAGGACCAGAACTACCCTGCGGTCCAGGCGGCCCTGGAGGTCCCAAAGGGCCATGAGGCCCTGGATGCCGCTGCATGCCTTGGGGCCCATGCATGTCCTGAGGCCGCGGCAACCCCTGGGGTGGGCCTTGTGGCCCTTGTGGTCCCATGAAACCTTGTGGTCCCCCACCTCCCTGATGCAGTGGGGGACCTTGTGGTCCCATTTGTCCTTGGGGTCCAGGGGGTCTAAACTGTCCCTGTGGACCAGGAGGCCCCATCTGCGCCATGTTCATTGGCATCTGCTGAGATGGATGAGGCTGTTGAAAACCTTGAGGAATCTGAGACATTGGGCCTTGTCCTGGAAAGGGCTGGGGTCCAAGGAGAGGGGTGGCAGATGAGGGAGGAGGCTGAATTTGCTCAGCCTGTTTCTGTGCAAGTCTTTCAATTTTAAGTTGCTGGAAAGAAAGAAAAAGCATGCTAGATTAATAAACTTGAAGATAATATTACTATCATGTATTTTGATGGGTGGGGGGCCTCAAAATAAACATAAAAATTCCTCAACCTCTTCATGTCTGAACATTAATAAGAGTCCATGTAACACTCAAACATCCTGAGGACTCTCTGACTCCCTTTAGGATGGCTCTTTCTGGGTTCTGGAAACACAGTACACAAGGCTATTTAGTTCTAATTTACTAGTAATAATAAGCTACCTACTGTACAAACTGACAGAAAATTCTTCTACTTATGGATAAATAAGCAAATCCAAAATAAAATTATGTTGGCTGGGGCTAGCAGATGGCATAGTGGTTACCATCACTGGACTTCCTCATGGCTGACTGAGATTTGAATCCCAGACCCAGTGGTTCGAAACTTACTCCAGGCACGTGAGCATGCATGCCCAAGATCCCAGGAGGAGAATGGAGAAGGGAATGTGATGTGGCCATCCCCTCTAGGGGGGTGATTTCTCACTTTTCCCCCTCTCTGTCTCTGTCACTCTCTCTCCGGTGAGCTTATGAGCCTTAAGGCAAAACCCTCTTTAAACAAAATGATGTTGGCTTTATATCTTCTATTAAAAATGTACATTTAACACAGGGTTACTCACTGTTCCACTAATCCGGTGTATAAGTCTAAGAAACAGGGTTCCTTTAACAATAGCAATAAGGGGAACCAGCAGTTAGCATAATGGCTATGTCGCTGGACTCCCATGTAGTCGACCACGGTTTGTGTCCCAGACCCGGTGGCTTAAAACTCACGCCAGGAGTGTGTGCGTGCTTAAGATCCTGAGAGGAGAACGGAGGAGAAGGGATTGCGGTGTGCCCATTCCCCCTGGGGGGTGATTTCTCTCAAAAAAAAAAAAAAAAATAGCAATAAGAGGGGCCAGCAGGTGGCATGGTGGTCAAGGAATGGACTCCCATATGGCTTACTGTAGTTCTCCCTGTCTGTGTCTCTCTTTGGTTGAATTAAAATAATAATAATGTTAATAATAATAATAAATACATATATAAATATGTATTTATATATGTAAATAAATAAAACTAAATAAATAATTCTTAAAAAAAAAAAAAAAAAGAAACAGCAATAAGAAATGAGGGTGCTGGGACCAGCAGGTGGCATGGTGGTTAAGGTGCTGGACACTCTCACATGGTAGACCACAGTTCAAGTCCTGGACATAGTGGCTTGCTTTCTCACTTCCCCTCTCTCTCTGTCTCTCTCTGGTCAAATTAAAGTAAATGGATGAATAAATACAAATCAAATAATTCTTCAAAAAGAAAGAAAGAAAGAAATGAGGGTGCTGGGACCAGCAGTTAGCATAATGGCTATGTCGCTGGACTCCCATGTAGTCAACTGCGGTTCGCGTCCCGGACCTGGTGGCTTAAAACTCACACCGGGCGTGTGTGTGTGCATGCCCAAGATCCCGAGAGGAGAATGGAGGAGAAGGGACTGCAGTGTGGCCATCCCCCCTGGGGGGTGATTTCTCGCTTTTTGTCTCTCTGTCTGTCTGGTGAGCACACGCGCCTTATTGGAAAAAAAAAAAGAAATGAGGGTGCTTATCAGACCTGTATGAGAGTTCTGTCCCTTTTCCTTAAAAGCACATCAATAAAAAAATGTCACCACTACTTTCTAAGATCACCTTGAATCTCCCTAAGGAGCTTCACATACCTCCAGAAGTTGTGGGTTTGTATACTGTAATGTAGCCATTTCTTGCTCAATTTCTGCTTGTGTTTTTTTCTTCTCTTCCAATTTAATGTCTTCTTTTCTGTCATTCAGCACCTCATTTGGAGCAGGAATTGGAACTTTATTTTGCATCCATGCCTTGGGAAAGAAGAGAATTATTAAAATACACTCTTAAGTATAAAAATTAGGATGATAGAGAAAGAAAGCAATTCTATAACATTACCTGGTCAATTCAACCTCCTGAACTGACTTTATTTCTAATGCTGATTCTTAGTGACATGGGAATACAGTCAGGTAAGCATACTACCACTAGGCAAAAATTACTAAGATGGGGACCAGCAGGTGGCATAATGGCTATGTCGCTGGACTCCCAAGTTGCTGACGTAGTTTGAGTCCTGGACCTGGTGGCTTAAACTCGCACCGGGCGCATGTGTCTGCACGCCCAAGATCCCGAGAGAAGAATGGAGAAGGAATTGCAGTGTAGCCATCCCCCGAGGGGGTGATCTCTCGTTTTCTGTCTCTCTGTTTCTCTTTCTGGAGAGCGCACCTGTCCTATGGCAAAAACCTCTCTCCCCTGCCCCCCCCAAAATCACTAAGATGATAAAAGATGCAAGATATGGTGTAGTATTAAGAACACAAAGCTCGTTAGCCTCTTCTAAAAGATGCATGCATTTTGTATTGAGAGGACAATTAAAGCAGAAGTCAGGGGGATGGAAAATGGTGCAGTGGTAAAACAAGATGCTCTGGGAGGTTGACCATGGAGGAAGGTTCTGGGTTTGTATCCAGAGATGTCCCTGAATATGCATGCCCATGATCTGGTGCAGGCTGAGACTGGGGGTAGATTGCAAGCCCCTATTGGGGATGCTGCCTCCATTCCTCCCTCTTTTCTTCCTTCCCTCTTGTGCTCTCTCTACCATACTCATGGAAGAAATAAAAAAATAAACTTTTTAAAAAGGAAGCAAATGACAGTCAAACAGGAGAGTCAACACACACTCTGCTCCATGCCTTTCTTCTCCTTCCCCTGATGGTGTGAATAACAGTAAGTGAGGATAAAGAAGATGCAGAGAAGATTCATGACAAACTCAACATAACTACAAAGCAGCAGATGGAAACTATGTCTGAGAACACATGAAAACATACAAAGAATGCTCCAAAAGAGCCCATAAGACAGAAATACCTTCAACAGATGAGATTATCCAAGAGAAACCTATTTCTGAACAATAATTAAACTAACCAACCACAGTCTCCCAGTATGGAGATGAGGTGGAGTCACTTTTCTCTCCTTACCTGCTGGAACTGAGCAGGAATAGGTTTTGCATAGGGAACTTTCTTCTGAGGCACTTTTTTCTGATCCTTTTGCATTACTTCCTCCATTCCCCAGTCTAACCCTGGAATTGTCATTTCAATTTCATTTGATTCATCTTTCCCTGAAATAATAAAGAGAAGTAGTTTTCTCCTTAAATTAGATTTTAACTATTAACAGTTGACATCACTATTATCAGCATAAATTATTTCGGCATTTCAACACAATTTATCATGAAGATAAGAAACAAGTCTAAAAAAGATTTTATAAAAATAAAAAGTACATGTACAATGTCTCTTACCCATCTGTTCTTGTTCCATTGCTAATTTTAGTTGTTCTGGTATTCCCATCCCAGGAATTACTGCCAGGCTATTAGGTTCAAGGTCATCTAAAATAAGAATACACCTAGGGTTAACAGAGACTTTACCAAACTAGTACCTAATAAGATCAATGCTTTATAAAAATGAATCATATCATTCATGACTTACAAATCAATAAACTATAAAATTAAAACTAGTTTTATATAACTTCCTAATATCTAATAGTGTTTTTTTTTTTTTTTCCCCCAGTTTCCCACTTGCCAGAGAGAATCAGAGAGAGAGAAGGAAAGAAAGAGAGAAAATGAGAAGGTACCCCCATGGGGAATGGTCATGTCACAATCCCTTTCCAAACCTGGGCACAAATGGTATGTTTTCCCAGCTGCTAGGTACAGAACGTGAACTGCATACTTGACCATGTGAGATCTAACTCATGCAACCACCATGCCACAGGCTGAGCGAACATTTTTATAACAGAGTATCATGTCAAAATAGGACTTGTGTAAGAGCCTCACCATATTCTACTCCATCTTCAGACATCCCAGGTAATAGGTTTAGATTGTATCGATCTCGCATTTTATCACCTGGTCGGTTACGAGTCCAGAATTTGCTGTCAAAATAAAAGCAATAAGGTGAGTGGGAGAATATGGTTTCTGTTTTTCCTGGCACTTAACAGTACAGAGCAGTCCCCTGACAAGGACAACAAATTTTTACAATGCCTAATTTAATATAGAAAGATTTTTTTTTTAATCAGAAGGCAAAACAAAATTTGAATAATCACTTACATTCAATACTCAACCCCTATTGCAATACAAATATTTGAAACAATGACCTGTTTTTAAAAATAAAAATAAATATGCAGGGGCTGGCAGGTGGCATGATGGTTAAAGGCAATGGATCCCCATATGGCTGACTGCGGTTCGAGTCCCGGACTTGATGGCTTGCTTTCTCACCTTCCTTTTTTTTTCTCTCTCTCTGTTTCTCTCTGGTCAAATTAAAATAATAATAATAATAATAAATGGAATTAAATAAATAAATTATCCTTTTTAAAAATTCAATATTTATTTCCTAGAACTCCATGAGCACAGTAATTATTTGTTATTTTCTTTTCTCAGTGTTTCCAGAGAACACATGCACTTGTCAAAAAGAGAGACAGAGGAGCTAGCAGGTGGCACAGTGGCTAAGGGCACTGGACTCCCACATGGCCGATCATGGTTCAAGTCCCAGACCTGGTGGCTTGCTTTTTCATTTTGCCTCTCTCTCTCTGACTCTGTCCATCTCTGGTCAAATAAAATAAATAAAGGGACCAGCAGTTAGCATAATGGCTATGTCGCTGGACTGCCACATAGTCGACATTGGTTCGAGTCCCGGACCCAGTGGCTTAAACTCACGACAGGCGCGTGTGCGTGCACGTCCAAGATCCGGAGAGGAGAATGGAGGAGAAGGGATTGCGGCATGGCCATCCCCCCTCGGGGGTGATTTCTCGCTTTCTGTCTCTCTGTCTCTCTCTGTCTGGCAAGCGCATGCGCCCTATAGCAAAAACCTCTCCAAAAAAATAAAAAGAAAAGAAAAAGAAAATTAAATAAATAAATAAAGTTAAAATAAAATAACTCTTAAAAAGAGAGAGAAAGAGAGACAGAGAGAAAGAAAGAGAGAGGGGGATAAAACACTCCCAATGGGGTATGGTCACGCCGCAATTCTTTTTCCTCCATTTTTCCATCTTGTCAGGTCAGGATTTGGGGCGTGCACAAACATTTATCCAATGTGTTTTTTAAACTGCTGGGTCCAGGAACCATAGTTAGTGATACTGAATCCAGCTCCCTTAACCACTAGGTCAGAGAGTCAGCCTATTTCTGTTTTTTTTTCACACATATTTTTGCTATAGTACATGTGTGCTCTCCAGAGAGACGGAGACAGAAAGAAAGTGAGAAATTACCCCCCTGGATGGGTGGCCATACTGTGATCTCTTATCCTCCATTCTCCTCTTGGAATTTTGAGCAAGCACATACATGCACCCAGTGTGAGTTTTAAGCCACCAGGTCCAGGACTCGAACCATGGTCAACTACATGGGAGTCCAGTGACAAAATCATTATGCCATCTACTGGTCCCATCCATTATTGTTAATATAAAACTTACCTAGTGTGGTCATTTGAGCCTGAGCAGAGAATATGTCCAAGAGGGTGCCAAGCCAGACTCCAGATCATTCCTTCATGGGCCATCTCCATCCCACCTACTTCCTTCTCTACTCTGCAATAGCACCAAAGAAAGACATCCTTTTTTTACAAAAGTTACCACCAAAAAACCAAGAGAGAGAAAAGAAAAGAAAAACAAAAACAAAAACAAAAACACAGACAGAAAAAAAAAAAAAAGCCCAGAAAGAAAAAAAAGAAGAGAAAGGAAAGATATTTTCTTTTAGCCTTTACACAGCAACCAAAGCTTGTTACTTTGAATCTGGACAACTTTACATGTTTCAGGTTTGCAATTAGAAATATATTCTTTAACCTAAAGAGCATTTCACAGGTGGAAATGCTTCAAGAATAATTTTACCAAAAAGAAATGAGGAAATCAGTGTTTCCAAAATGGTGGCAGCAATGGATGTGGAAATCCCCAAGTGGTACCAATAGCAGCACAGGCAGATGTCAGGCTAACCAGGTGTCTGCTACTTCTGCAGGGAGTACTGTGGCATGGAGGGTCTGTAACCACTCGTTTCGCTGCTTCTCCCACTGGCTCCACCTCCCACAGCAGGTGTGTCCACTGGACAATGGAGAGTAAGAATTCCAAAAGTATGGGTAATAGAAAAAGAATTCTTCCATCAAGGTTAACTGTTTTGTTATTCACTTAATAACTGATCCTTTGGTTACTTAATTAATAAATTAGATAGAACCGTCTTTCTTGCTTTGCCTTTTTCATTTGCTGTTCCTGCAGGCATATTGTCTTCTGTGTCAAATAAAGTCCATTTGGATTCTTGAAGGAAAAAAAAACCCTAGGGAATCTATTTTATTCTTCCTACCGACTTTAAGATCCAGAAACAGAGGTGCTATATTTTTTATTCCAAGCTAGATTTGCAGAATTAAAACCAAAAGGCAGTCTCTGATACAGGACACACAAACACAGAAAAAAACAAAAAGCACTATTGTGTTTGTACACATTCAGATGCTCTCTTCATAAAATATGACTTCTTTACATAGTAAATGTTACATACCCAACATGCCAGAACAACAAGGAACCATCAGACCCTCCACTGGCAAAAAGTCCTTCATGAACAGGATGCCAGGCAACAGCTGTACCACAGAAACAAGGGGACAGACAAAACTATCAAGATCTGAAAACACTATAGGTAACAGTCGTTGGAGTAAAAGCATTTCATAGTCACTGACCTGTGGCTTCTTTCTTATGACCTCGGAAGACTTGAAGTTCCTCTTTCAGATTTCGGATATCAAAAAGTTTACAGAGATGATCACGTGATGCTGTGAGGAGCCAATTGCCATTGAGATTTAACTTCACTTCCATTACTGTGTTTTTATGGGCATGACTAAAAACAAAGCATCAAGAAAATAATCTGTCAGAATCCACAGGCATAAATCAACATAATGACCATTTTTGTTGAAAAGCACATGGATCAAGATGGTAAGAAGTTTGGCCTAGAAATAATAAAATGCGTAACATTACAGGACCACAGTTCAAAATACACTTGAAAGAAATGGGTCAATGATAGAAATGATAGCCACTACCTAAGCTCAGCTCTCGTTAACCAGTTAAAATAGCAGTGGAACTTCAACTGGACAGAAAAGTTTATCTATAATGCAGAGGAAGCACTTGAACACATAATTAACACTTGATAAAGTTCATTACATTTTCCACGTCAATGAAGCTCCTCTCATTAAGACAAAGCATAAAAATGGGCACTGGAGGGGCTAGCAGGTGGTGTGGTGGTTAAAGGCACTGGACTCCCACATGGCCAACTGTGGTTTGAGTCCTGGGCCTGGTGGCTTGCATTCTCACTTTCTCTCTCAGTCTCTCTCTGGCAAATACACATGCCCTATAGCAAATTTATAAATAATAGTAATAATAAATAAAATGAATAATTCTTAAAAACAAAAAATGGCACTGGATAACTTGAGGATTAGTTTAACTATAGATGATGCACACCTCAAGGCCTGAGTGATGCCCATCTACAAGGGCCGCCATTCCAAGATGTCCCATGATGGCTCTGGCCATTGGAGCTGTGCAATGAGGCAGCTTTGCTCCAACCTAGTTGCTCTAGACATGGTTCACTTCTCGATCAATAGGACTAGGATATAGCTACTTGGTTAAAAAAAAAAAAAAAAAAACATTAACATATCCATATAACTATGAATACTGCAGATAATTCAGAAAGATCATTTTATTATTAGTAGCTACATTCTTACATAAGCACATTAGCCAAAAAAAAAAAAAAAAGAGAGAACTGGCTCAAAACTGGAGGGAAAACTATCTATAAACAGATTTAATGAGAAGGAGGAAGATGAGCTGTTTCTAGTACAGAGCACATCAACTGCATCTAGTGCCCAAAGGCATTCTCATGAGGAGAAATAGTAAGCTAGAGCAGAAATAGCCACCTCTTCCCCAACCCCCATGATACTCAAGTTAAATTTAAGTCAAAGTGCCAGGACAAAAGTGAAAGCATATTTCAGTAGGAATTTAGATAAATCATATTTGATTAGTGAGAAGTCCATCTGTTGTCTGAACTGCTTTTTCAGGAATACATGAGAAGAGAAAGTTAAAAGTTAAAGAATGCAGGCTGCTTTGTTCCCTCGTTCAGGGACCAAGGTGGGGTTCCTATCACTTACAGTGTTGCAAGACTCTGCCCAGTCTTGGGATCCCAGAACTTGATTGGCTGTTGACTATCTTTACTTCCTGAAACAACTAACCCTTTGGTTGGATGCCAGTCTACACATTTCACATCAGCACCATGCCCTGTCAAAAACAAGTTAGGATAAAAACCTAATCAGTCACATGCATTTAAAGAAGGACTCCAATCCAATTAAAAGCAAAGTTGAGACATCTATTACATGTTTTGATCTTAGTGCTCAGTCAACTTTTTCTTTAAAGAAGGCTCTTTGGCCCCTGGGGCTGGCAGTCTTCGGAGAGAGCAATTTCTCCTCCTATCCAGGACACACAGCACAGACTGCTCTTCTCCAGGAACTAAGTGCATAGTCTCACCTACTTGCCAGCCAAGACTTTGTAGAAGTTGCATCTCTCAAGCCTCCGTGAATAAAGCTTTTTACAATTTTCCTCCCAATTACTCTAATTATTAGACAAACCCTGTCATTCACTTTAGCTTCCCCACGTTGTGGTTCCAATTCATGTTTTGACACTACCAACTTCTAGATGTGAAGTTAGAAAAAAATATTCCAGCTTTCTGCTCCTGTTTAATGAAATGCAGAGGAGAAAAAATAATCCCTGCCTGATTCACATGCATGCTATATCACCGGATGAGAGAATAATAAAAGCTACCTACTGAGCTCTCACTATGTTATATGTTATGCAGTGTATTTACTAATCACTTATACATATCACCATTTTAGATCTTCATAAAATCCTGAGGGAAGTGTTACCATCATCTCCATCTCAAAGTGAAGACACAAAAAGACCAGAGAGGTTAAGTAACACAAACTGGACTCCAAAGCTAGTCAACAAGAACAGGAGCAGGGACCTGAATCTGGTCTGCAAGATTCCCAAGATCATTAATTCACTTAACCACTGTGCTACAACAGATGTCACTTTACAAATGTCACATTTTAAGTGTTACTAAAAATCACAACTATGGGAGCTGGATGGTGGTAGAGCAGTAATACTACACTCTGCGAGGCTGACCCAACCACATACACAGTTTTTGGGTCCACGTATGGAAACCTCCTTGAACACACGAGTATGCACATATCCATGATGTGGGGCTAGCCGAGCTGGGGATGGACTTAGCATGGAGACACTATTGGGGCTGTCATCTCAATCACTCGCTTCCTCATCAAAGAAAAAAAAATCAACTTAAATAGCCAATGTGAAAATCAGAGTTTATAAACCTGGAAAATAAAATGGGTGTAAGTTTTGAAAACTTGGGTTCTGTAATATGAAGAGTCCCAAGAATATTTTGTACCGCAAATGCACTAAGACGCAGATGAACAGTGAGAGCATTTGAGGTAGCTTCTTAAAATCTAGCTTCTCTGAAGTACTAAGGTGGGAAGGAGACAAAGGGTTGAAGGGAAGATAGAACAGATGTTCTAGAGATGGTGTAGAGACATTGGAAGTGATTTGCATCAATTCAAAAAGGAGAACCTCGCATCTAGAATAGATATGTTTTTTCTTAACACTATTCTACGCTGTCAAGCACGTGGAGACATACCAACTATCTGGAGGACAGTCTGGTAATATGTACAAAAAGCATGAAAAAGTACATAGTCTACAACTGAATAACTGAGTCCTAGATTTTATAATACTAGATGTTCAAAAGGATGTCTTTCAGAAAGTTTACTATACAGTTTATTTTTCAATATGCTTGAATAGGACAAAAATACATTATAAAATAAATAACAGCATGGTACATATGCTCAAAGAAATATAGGAAAATGTATATTATGAAAATAGTATGTATAGACTTCAATTTTTTTTAAAGAGTGATTTTTGCTATAGGGCGTGTGTGCTCACTGGATAGAGAGAGATGGAAAGTGAAAAATCGCCTCCTGAGGGGATGACCACACTGCAATCTTCTCCTCCGTTCTCGTCTTGGGATCTTGGGCATGCCCAGCATGAGTTTAAGCTAATAGGTCTGGGACTTGAACTGTGGTCAACTACATGGGAGTCCATTATGCCATCTGCTGATCCCAATTTCAAACATTTTTGCACCAAAAAAAAAAAAAAAAAAAAAGCCTCCCAAAACTCACTTTAGTTTCATTTTTCCATAAATTTTTTAAGTCCCCTCATGATGTTATATATGATTATAAATGATCCTACAGATGATTTAATGTCATTAAAATGCCCCTGATACTAAATGTATTTAAAAAAAAAAAATGACTACCAATCACTATGAATCATCACTGCAAATGGCAGATAAATGAGTAATAGGAGTGACCTCATATGTGTATCCACATAGAGAAAAAAGGCCAGAAGTCCAGATACCAAACTTACCAGAAATAACTTTAAGCTGGAGATAGGTTTTAAGGTCTTTTGTACATGTTTATATTTTTTGCAATGAACATACTTTGGAATCTCGAGGTTGGAAAAGGGAAAAAAGGTTGTGCTGTTGCTTCCTCTAATTAAGAACTGAAAATGGAGAAACTGAAGTAGAATATTAACACAGTCTCTCTAGGCTCTTGCTTAAGAAATTTTTATGTAATTCATGACTGATCCTACAAAGATGTGGCCATAGCATTTTTTTATTAGGTTTTTGCCATAAGCATGTGCTTGCCAGAGTAAGAGACAAACAGAGACAAGGAAAGTGAGAAGTCAGCTCTCCAACACACACACACACACACACACACACTCATCTCTCTCTGCCAGCACACATAACCCAGAGCAAGTGTTAAGTATCCCACAAAAATATAATGAATATTCAGGGCCAGCAGGTGATGTAGCAGTTACGTCGCTGGACTCTCACATGGCCTACCATGGTTCAAGTTCTGGACCTGGTAGCTTGAAAATCACACTGGGCACATGTGTGTGCATGCCCAAGATCCTGAGAGGAGAATGGAGAAGGGATTATGGCATGGCCATGCCTCCTGGGGGGTGATTTCTCACTTTCTCTCTCACTGTCTTTGTTTCACTCTCTCACTGGTGAATACACGGAGACTAAGGCAAAAACTTCATACACGCACACACACTTACACACGCGCGCACACGGGCACATACTGAACATTCAGACTATATTCACTATAGAAAATACTGGCATTAGAATAGCATAAATCCAGGATGTCATTTAAGTCAATTAGGGAAAAAAATTTAAGAGAACAGAAACGGAGAAAGCCAAGAACAGTTAAGTTAAAGTAAAATAAAACAGTTAAGTTAGGGACCCGCAATTGGTATAATGGCTATGTAACTGAACTCTCATGTAGTCGACCGCGGTTCGAGTCCCAGACCCACTGGCTTAAACTCACGCCGGGTGTGTGTGCGTGCATGCCCAAGATCCCGAGAGGAGAATGGAAGAGAAGGGATTGTGGTGTGGTCATCCCCCTGGGGGGTGATTTCTCACTTTCTTTCTCTCTATCTCTTCCTGGTGAGCGCACGTGCCCTATAGCAAAAACCTCTAAAAAAAAAAAAAAAGTTAAAGTAAAAGAATGATGACTGTCTGAAAAATATTTTTGAACACTGTACACTGAAGGGTGTGGTGGTACCTGCCCTATGAAAAATGTACACTGAAAATTTAGGAAAATATATATTTTGGTGTATATTAAGACATACACCAAAAGTGAGCTTATCAGGACATTCAACTGAGCAATTGACAGGAGTCTAAAAAGATGGTCTGGCAATATCTAATAGAGCTAGAAGTATATATAATCAGTTTACTGGTATTTACTGTAACTGAACGAGTACACAATGTGTGAGCAATGGGACTTGTGTGTGTATACAGTTACAGAATTTCCAGTTCACGTAAACCAATGATCACAGACAAGGATATTCATTGAAGTATGTTTGAAATAGTGAAAATCTATCATAACCTAAATACTAATCAACAAGAGAAGGCTTAAATAAAATAAGTTGCCAGAAAAGTTGTGACACATTTTTATACAGAAAAAAATACATCATGACTTTTCTGACAACATGACAGCATGTTCATGCAAAAAAACTGGTCCAGCAACTCATTGTAGAGGAAGGGAAGAGCAGCAGAAACTACATCAAGTATTTCCTTCCCCAGTACAGCTAAGTATTGCCACTGTATCCAAATACTCCATCTTTAGTGTCACTCTTCAGTTGTGGCATTTCTAGTGTGGGTTCATATTCCAAAGACAACAGGTATTGTGAATAAGACCTCCTTAGTAAAGTTTACTATACACTGGGGAAAAGTTAAACTTTCTTTGTTGTATAATTTTTAAGTCTTTTGATAGCCAGACAAGAATTTATTTTTGAAGGAAGGGATTTAGTATTTAAGACATAAGCCCATGTGATGACAGACCATTTAAAGTACAATTAAGTAGTACTGTTCCCAGAGACATTCTTTCAGACATGATAGAGTAAGGCACTGACCCTTTGGAAGGATAATCCACTGATAAATTAACAGTATGTTGGGCCAGCAGATAGTATAGTGGCTATGGTCAACTAGTTTGAGTTCTGTATCCAGAGGGTTGAAAAACAAGCCAGGAGCACACGTGTGTGTCCAAAATCCCCAGAGGAGAATGGAGGTGAAGGGCGGCAGTGTGGCCATGCTCCCACTAGAGGGAGGGGCATGATGACATCTTTGCCACGGCATTTTAAAATATAGGTAATGAGGCCAAGTGATACATACCTATGTCCCAACTAATCAGAAAACTGAGACACAAGAATGGTGTGTTTGAAGCCAGCCTGAGCGACCTGGCAAGCCCTAGGGTTTTTTTGTATGGTTTAAATTTATATATACCTTTAGATTCTTAACATAGGGCATGTGTACTCACTAGAGACAGAGAGAAATCATCCTCCAGGAGGGGATGGCCATGCCAGAATCCCTTTTCTTCTATTCTCCTCTAGGGATTTTGAGCATACATGTTTTCAAGTCACTGGGCCCAGGATTCACACCACAGACTTGGCCAGCACCCTAACCACCAAGCCACCTACTGGACCCAGCTCTGTTTAAAAATACTGACAAACAAACAAAAAGCCATGTGGACCACCGTGACCTAATAATAAATATTATGTGTATTTATATAATAATTTTAACCAATCAAGCTCAAGTTTATGGAAAATACATGAGAAAACATTTTTAAATTAAAATACACTATGAAAAAAATGTT